TTGGTCAGAGGCTCACAGGAGCACGTGCCAGGGAGCTGGGCCGTGCAGCTATCAGGTGCCGCCACCCCCCCCCCAGCAGCCTATGGCCGGCAGGCACCTGCACCTTTTGGGGTCTCAGAACCTGGGGATGCTTACAGGGGGTCATGCCTGTGAAAGCAACGGCCTCTCCTCCTGGGGTGGGGGGCGCGCCAGCCAGTCCTTGCCTGTGAGCACAGCATGGCCCCGCCACGATGGGTGTCCTGCTCCCTGACTCAGAGCCCTGCGCCCCTGGACAGCGGCTGCCTGCCCTGGGAGCCTGGCACTGCTGAGACCTGCAGCAAGGTGAACCCGCCCCCCCTCCCCCGTTCTGCAGCCAAGGAGACTGAGGCTCGCTCAGGGGCAGCAGCTCCTGGCCCTGGCCCTGCAGTCCCCTCCCTGCCATCCATCCCCTGGGCGGTCACTTTAGTCTCCAGGCGTCCATCTCACTCATGAACGTGAGGCTGGAGATGCCGTGGATGGGAGAGCGGGGTCTGCCCACTCTCCCGCTGGTCAGAACCGCACAATCCGATTCCCGAGACACTGTGTGGCCAGCAGAGGTTACTAGTGGCTGGCTCCTGGGTAGCGGCCATGGCTGTGTGGAAGGAGGCAGTGAGCTCTTCCCAGCTCAGCCTGCAATGGGCTCACGCCCGGCTCAGCTGGGGATGATCTTGTTGACGTGCGTGATCGCAGGAGCAGAGATGACGCAATATCCGCCCTGTACCTGGGTTTCCTTGGAAAGAGGAAGAGGAGGTCCCGCTGTCCTGGGCCTGGGCAGCAAAGTGAGGGTGGCACAGGGAGGACCAGGTCTCAATGGGCTCTGGGGCCAATCGTCGTGAGCCTCCCCGACCGAAGTGCTGGCCCGTGGGCACCCAGAGGGCAGTGCTGGCCCCAGGTAGGCCACCTTTGCTGATGGCCACTGCCACGGGTCCCACACCCAGAGGGAGAAGTGAAGGCGTCGGGAAGCCTGGGTCACCCCCAGGACCCTGCATGTCCCGCACGCGTCCCCTGCATGTCCGACAGAGCAGCCTTGTGCAGCTGGGGCCGGCCGGGGGGCATGGCCATGCTGCTGCCTGCGTCCTTCCGGCCACAGGTCACATGGCCTCCACTGCTGTGGCTTTGGGGAGCATGGAACAGCGCCTACCCCCTCCACTGCCCAGGCTGGGGGCAGGAGTCCCCAAGGGCAGCATGTGCTGGGCGGCCGGGGGCAGCCCCCTTGGCCTCCTCCATCCGGCCCATGCGTTGCTCAAAACACAAATGGGTCCTGCTGCCCACAGGGAACCAGAGCCAGGCAGTGCCTCTGTGCCCAGGAGCCCCATATCTGCCCCCTGCCCTCCACACGGAGGGCTCCAAGCTGCTCCTGTCTGGGAGTCTGGGAATTCCCAGGTGACCGGGGTCCCCAGGGGAGCCGCTGTCGCTCCCTTACATGCGACGTGCGTCTTCCCAACAGAAGGTCCCAAGACCTCCCTCGTGCTGTGTGGTGCTCTGGGGGAGGGGCACTGCATCCGGGGGCCATGGTGGTTCACACATGTGGCTGGCAGGAGTGCCGTTCACCACGTGCAGTGACGCATGTCGGGGGACACGGAGCTGCACGTCGGGTTGCCTCATGGGCGGTGGGCCAGGAGGGGTGTTCTTTGGCAGCAGTCCCGTATATTGGGGGCGCGAGGCCTGGGGTGTGCCCTGATGTCACGACTCGGAGGGTTGTGTGCGAGACCAGCCCTGACCCAGCCGGGCCTCCTGCACCCCCCACGGTTGCCCCCACGCTGAGGCTCCATGGGCCCCTCCCCGTCGGGCAATTTCCCGAGCCGTGACCTCCCCCACTCCCAGGAAGAGATCCAGGCTACTTGGTGCCCTCCTGGTGCCGGGACACCCCCCCCCCCCCCCGCAGGCTGGGTGGGGCCTCCCAGGCAGGTTCCGGCGGTGCACCTAGCCGGCCGGTGATGCCGTGGGGGCCCAGGCAGCGGGAGGCCCGCAGGGGACTTGGACGCCCTTCACTTTATCATCATTGATTTGTCACACGGGGAGGAGCCCGAGGCGGGGAGATGGCAGTGCCTCCAGGACCCAGCAAATGTGTGCCACGCAGGCCCTGTGAGCGCCGCTATCCCCCACCAGCCAGGGGAGGAGGACCGGGTCCAGGGCCTCGGGCAGCTGCGCGGAACAGGGACCTCCACTGGGCTTCAGGAGCCACCGAGTTCGTCTTCCTCTCTCTCCATCCCTGTGGAAACTCAGCCGCCGCCCACGTAGACTCGGCGGCGTCGGCGAGGACAGATTGAAGCTTGCAGTGACCACCAAGGCCCACCCCACTGCGCCCGTCCACACACACCGCCTTCTAAGGGCCCGCGTGTTCACACTCACAGTCCAGCCTCTCCCCGGGCAGGAAACCCCAGCCGTCCCCGTCCTCTCGGGAACCTCCGGCGCTCTGGGCCTGGAGGCAGCCAGCGTGGAGCAGTGCTGCCAGACTTCCACAGCCCCAGTCCCCATGCGGCCGTGGGAGCTGTTCCTGGGGCTGGGGGGGGGGGTCAGGCTGAGGGGCTCAGGCTCCCGAGCCCTGGGTGCCCTGCCTGGTCTGAGGCAGGGGCAGCCCTCCACCCGGGGGGTCAGAGCCCGCCTGGCTCGGACTCCTGGACAGCAGAGGAGTTGGGGCAGCGAGACCAGGCTTGGTTGCACCAGGATCCGGTGCGATGTGGGGACCCCCCGCTTGCTGTTGGGGTTGCAGGGTCTGAGGCCGCCAGTGACCCTGTCTGTCTCTCTCCCTGCTCTGCAGCCATGAAGTCGGGGGGCACGCAGCTCAAGCTCGTCATGACGCTGCAGAACTACGGACAGGCGCTGTTCAAGCCCATGAAGTGAGTGGGGGCTGCCGATGGGCGGGGCGGGACCCGGTCCTCCAGGGACACCGCCCCCTCCCGCCTGAGGCCTGGGCAGCAGCTCTCCCCGGGGTCTTCCAGGTCCTGCGGTCTCCGCCTGGCCATTCTTCCCGCTACCCAGGCTCCCAGCAGCAGGAGGGGGCCCGGGTTCCCAAAGCGCTTCATCTAGGAAGCCGGTCGGGCTGGCTCGGACCCACTGCCTGCAGTTTGCCGGACGTGGGCATTCGCCGGGGCCTGAGCCTTCGGAGGAAGGTGGGGAGGGGGCACGTGGAAGCCAGACCACCCAGCTTGGGTGCTCAGGGCTTGGGAGCCAGGTGGCTCAGCTGTTGGTGCTGCTGCCACCCGTGGCCATCTTCACAGCAGTGAGATTCCCTGTGGTGCGGGTGTGGGTGGGGACTGCAAGTACTGGGGTGGCTGTGGGCAGATACTAGCTGAGGGTAGTGGGTAGCTGATGGCCCCAGCAGGTATTTTTACAGACTCACAGCCACAGGAGAGGAGGCTGGGCTCAGGAGGGCTCCACACAAGCAGGGAGCAGCACAGGCCAGCCTGTGGTCAGGGTGCCTGCTTTGGGGGCTGGGTCCTTGGTGCTTGGTCGCGGGGGCTTCTCCCGGGCGGGAAACATCTGGAGGTACGGGTGGTGAGGCCTGGAGTCCTGTGTTTGTTGCGTTTGCTGCTAGGCTGGGCTCCGGTCCCAGGGCAGGGTTCCCACCCTGGGTCCCCGCCCAGCCTTCCCTCCTCCGTCCTGGACAGGCCCTGACCCAGCAGTGATGGGCCCTGCAGACTACGGCGCCGCCCCCTGCTCCTGGTGTCACCGCCCCTGGTCCCAGCACCACCCCCTGCCCCCGGCACGGCCCCCCCTTTCCTCCGCGAGAGCAGATCTGTCAGTGAGTGTGTGCACGCATGCGCATCTCCCAGACAGCGGGGGTGGGGGGGATTCCTCACAGCCAAGATGGGGTGGTGCAGGCTCAGGGGAGCCGGCTCAGCCTGGCCTCACCCCCAGAGCCTAGGGGATGGTTGGGGGGCCAGGTACCCTCCGAGAAGGGGCACTGGAGGCCCCCTGCTCCGTGCACAGGGACAAGACAGGTTCTGGTGGTTGGGGGGGGGGGGGTCCTGCAGCTCCCGCCAGCCTCTTATGGATCCGCCGAGCCCAGCAGGCACCTGGCTCAGCCTCTGTTACCCACCCGGGCTTTCCCATCTGTGAGGGGCAGCAGGCAGCCAGAGCTGGGGCCCTGAACCCCCGCACTTCCCCCCTCCCCGGGAGGACCAGGAACGCAGAGTCCCGCCTGGCAGGGACCGAGGCCCCAGATGTAAGTGGCCCCTGGCAGCGGCCCACTTGTGAGCCACCAGGGACAGCTGGACATCAGTTCAGCCCAGGGCTCAGGGCGGGAGGAGGGAGGCCGCGACTTGTTCCACATGGGCCTCTGTTCTGTGCGTGTCCAGCGCCACAGGCTGCCCTGTGCAAGGTGGGGGGGCTCACAAAACAAACTCCAGGACCACCCCCTGGAGCCACTGGCCATCCAGATGCAAACTGGGAAGGTGCTAGTGGGCACGGACTCAGCTCCACCGGGGCCACTGGCATGGACCACGCTCCTGCATGCGGGCACCCGAGGCCTAGGGCTGGCCCTGGACCGCATGACACCACGCCCACGGAATCCGGGGGCCGGCCCAACTGCTGTCCACTGCCCTGGACTCCCAGAACTGGCCCGACACAGGCCTGGGAGCGAGCGCTCGGGCTGGGGGGCGGGCAGCAGACGTTGCAAGGAGACCTCGTGCCCAGGGCTGTGTGTGGCCGGGAGAAGGAAGGGGCCTTGGCGGGTGCGGGGGCTGTCTGAGCCGTTGCTCCTCGGACCGGGACGAGGGGGAAGGAGGGCATTCTGAGGGCCAGGGAGCGGGTTCTGGATTTGCCACTCACTCATAAATCCTTCTCGTTCTTCTCTCCACGGCGCCTTCCCCCAGGGCAAACATTGCTCAATCCCCATCACCGCCCGCCCGGGAGCCAGCAGAGGCCTGGGCCTGGCTGGAGTGGACAAGGACCCTTTTGTGTCCACGGGACCTGGGTGGCCTCCAAGCCTGCTCCCTACCCTGGCTGAGGCTGGGGTAGGGCCGCCTGGCTCCCACAGGCCCCAGCGTTCTCCCGGGACCCTGAGTCAGACTTGGATCTGCCTGGGCTGCCCGGGGCCCCACCCGAAGTCGCCAGGCCCCAAGCAGGGCAGGGACCCCTTGCGAGTCCCAGCAGCAGTGGCCTGGGACAGCGGGGACAGTGTGTGGGGAGGGGGACAGGGAGGGGCTGGGCAGTGCTCTGGACCCGCGTGGCTGCTCCAGGACTTAGGCAGCAGGGACAGCTTGGAGTGGCCAGAACCTGGGGCCTAGTGAGGGGAGCCCGAAGGCCTCAGCCGCTGGCCGAGGGCCACTGAGCAGCAGTGGCGAGGGCTGGGTGTGGCAGCGGGGCGCGTGCCTGGTCCAGCATCTCAGAAGCTGACTCTCAGCTTCTCCCCGAGCTGGGTCCCGTGAGCCCTGGAGAGAGGAGCCGACTGCTCTGGCGCCGGCACCGAGAGCAGCCGCAGCTGAGGACAGGCGGCCCCGGGGGACCGGGCCAGGGTTTGCTAGGGCTCCGAGACCCTGGGGCCCAGACCCCAGTGGGGTGGGGACAGGGTCTGTGTGCCATTCGTGTGTGGCATGTGTGTGCACACGTTTGTGGGCATGGGTGTGTATGTGGCTGGGGGCACGCACATGTAGGGGGTGTAGGTAGGTCCAGGTCCCGGGCTGTGATCCTGCTAATGAACCCAGCAGGCAAGCTCACGTCTGGAGTACCCGTCACCCTGTCACCCAACTGGATGCAACTCCAGGCCTCTGGCCTGTCTTGCCCAGCCCTGACTGCGGTGGTAACCATGAGGGAAGCTTGCAGGAGGTGCCGAGCAATGCCAAACCCAGAGCTGGGGACAGGGACGGTTCTGGGTTAGAAATGGCGCCCCAAGATCCTCCCCCAAGAAGTCGCTCCCCTTCCAGAACCCGCGCCTCTGAAAACCTGGAATTAAGCAGCTTAATATATCCCGATGATGACAGGTGCTGTCTGCTCGTGAGTGACAGCAAGGCTGGGCCCGCACCGCACACGCCTGCCTCCAGCAGGGATGTCTCTCACCGGCACCCACGCCGAGATCAGCCCCGGCAAGGGGCAGGGTCACCCTTGGCTTGCCAGGCCCTCCTGGGTTGTGTGTTAACGGTCCACGCCGAGGGGCATCACAGGGCCGGCGGGGCCCCTCAGGAGGAGGTGGAGGGGGCAGGGTGTGAAACGCGAGGAGGGGCTGCACAGGAGCCCAGCAAACTCGGGTGTGTTCCAGGCTTGGGCGCCGAGACGGCAGAGGGCGCCGGGCCTGGAAGCAGCCTCAGCTGCCTGCTGCTGAGCCAGTGGCCTCGTGCAGGCTGTGAGCTCCTCGTGGGGCCCCGGGTCTTGGAGGTGCACGCCCTCTGGTTCTGAGGCCGTCACGGGTCTGGGGACACAGGCACCTCCCAGCCAACCCCCAGAGGAGCTGTCGTCTGTGTTGCCTGCCCAGCCCGGCCAGAGGGTCCCTGCCAGCGTGTCCTGGGGCCGCTGCCACACACGACCAGACCAGCGCATCACTCCCCAGCATCCTCGGGGGCACCTCCATTCCCCCGCTTCTGGGGGTGCTGCATCCCTGGCCACGGCCCCTCCCTCCACGAGACGCTCCCCTCTCGGGTCTCCCCTCAAGGTCACTGCTGTCACATCTGTGGGACAGCCGGCAGCCATGCGGACGAGTTGGGGGCCGTTAGACAGCCCCATTGCTTCCTGCTTGGGTGGGGGCAGGGACAGGTGCACTGGCCAACCTTGGCTGGTTTCCGTAAAGTCTCTGCCTGGGCCACAGAGGGTCCGTGGGCCGCCTGCCTGTGCCCTCTGCTTGGTCTCCTGTTTCAGACACCCGCCTGGGACACCCCCTCCCCCGCCCCCTACATCAGCCCACCCCGCCCTTGAGCTGCCCTTCACACCTGGGCACGCCTTCTTCCAGGACTCCCTGGAGAGGTGACCCTGCCCAGCCGGCCCACCCCCAGCCTGGCACGGTGGACACAGTACTTTTCCAAACGTCTCCACAGGGGCTGAGTAGGGAGTGGTCAGGGGGTCCACTGCAGGCTTCCCGAGCCCACGAGGCCTCAGGGAGGGCCATGGACGCAGACCCCCTCATCCCCACTCCAGACTCGGGGGCTGTGCTGGGAGTGGCTCTGGGAGCCAGAGGGGGGCAGCCCAGGCATGACATGGACAGCAGGAACTGCTCCCAGCCAGGTCACAGGCACCTCGAGGAAGTACCCGACCCTTCCTGGAGTAGCAGGGCCAGGAGCCACCAGAGCCCAGGCGTGTGGCCTGTGGGGGATAGGGTGGGGTGGGGTGACAAGGGACCAAGGAACCAGGTCAGGGGTGGCCACTTCAGACCTCAGGGCACTTGAGGGGGGCGTGGAGGCCACAGGAGGACTTGCACCCCACCCTGTCCCTGTCCATGCATCTGTTACGGGAATCGTCCTGAACAAGGGCTCCACCCCCCCTCCCCAGCCAGGCCCTGGCGTCCGGCAGACAGTGCAGCAGTGCCAACCCCCCAGGGAGGGAGCCTGGCTCTGCCCAGGCTGCCAGGCAAGGCCCCAGGGGCCAGAAGGGACAAGGAAGTCCAGGTGCAGGGGCCGGTGGCCAGAACCCTGTGTGCCCGGAGCAAAGCTGTGGGAGCCAGTGCCAGCCGACCCAACCAGCACCCCTGGCTCTGGGCCTGTTCTCCCAGTCCTTGGGCGGCCACTTCCCTGCAGCCCACTGTAGGGACTTGGCTCAGCCCCGGGGCTGGTACAGTTCCCACCCTGGGCTCCGTGCTAGAGCTGGACCGATGGCCCGGGCTGAAGATGGGCGCGGCTGCCGGGAGGCCCAGTCACGGCCGGTGGGTGTGTTCTTTTGAGCCTCTCTAGCCTCCATACCCGGGCCCTGGCCTGGGGAAAGAGCCCCCTCCCCCAGAACCCGCAGAGCCTGTGCCTACCCAAGTGTGCACACAGCTGTGCGAGGGGACAACATGTGTGCAGGCGTGTATCAGAGGCCTCAGGATCCCCGTGTCGGTGTGAAGCCGGCAGCAGGGACGGCCTCCCTGGTCTGCATCCTGCTTTTCATGCTGACAAAGTCCTGGGCCGGTGGATTTTGCTGGAAGGCATCCATGCTGAGGACAGTGGTAGCGCGGGGGAGGGGCGGGGGCTGCCACGAACCTCGGGGCTCTGCTCCAGCGTCTCCTGCTCGGCTGCCGGCTCCTGTCTCTGGGGGAGGTGTGTGACAGCAGCCGCACCAGGCCAGCAGGGCCGTGGCGTGGACGCCCTGCTGCTACCTCTGCCCCCGCAGCGCGTTTTTCAGTAGCTGGGGTGGTGGCAGGGAGCCGCAGGCCTCCCGGGGTTCCCAGCCACTGCCCTGTTCTGGGACGCAGCCATAGAATCGCAGAAAAGGCTGCCGGCACCCAGCGCCCTGCACCGTCCCCAGGAAGGTGGGGTGGAGTGGAGAGAAGCCGGCCTCGCGAGACACGGGAACGGCTGCCCCCTGTGGCACGGCCACTACTGCTGTTGCCCAGCCCCCGTGCTGCAGCAGGGCTCCCGCTGACCTCAGCACACAGGTGCAGGCAGGGACGCAGGCCAGGTCCTTGCGGCAGGGGGCCAGGCTGTGTCCACGCGAGGCCCAGCTCTGCTCGCCGGTGCTGGAGCAGGGCTCTGGCATTTGAGCCTGGTCCGTTCTTGCTGGGCTGAGGCGGGTCCTGGGTCCCAGGCCCCGGGTAGGGACGCTTTTGCCCTCCCAGGCTGCGGTGGCACTGGCCAGGACCCACAAGAGCCCTGGGAAGGGCCCTGCCTTCTCAGCAGCCTACAGAACATTCCAGAGGCTGAGATAGGGAGACTTGGTGTTTGCAGAGCACGGCTGACCCACAGAGGCAGTCAGGTGTGGCTTTGTCCCCGGCTGGGCAGGGGGCCAATGTCGAGCCAGGGAGAGGCGAAGCCGGGGCCAGGGGCTGTGCAGGTGCACACGGCCAGCCGCCGCACCTGCCCCGGGCCCAGGGAAGCCCCCAGTCCATCCTGAGCAGCGAGGGGTCTGGCCTGCTCCCGGAGCCTGTGCCCCCCCCCCGCCCACGCGCCCCTCAGCCCGCCAGCTCTGTGGGTAGTGGTGTGGCCCGGGGTGGACTCAGATACTGAGTGACCGGCTCCCAGGAGAGCCCGGCGTCCACCGAGGCTGTCGAGCTGTGGGGTCAGGAAGGTGGCGCTGGGGCAGACGACACACTTGGGTCTCAGTTCCTGGATTCGTCCTGGCCCAGCGGCTCTCGGGGACAAAGCCTGTGTTTGCTTCACTTCCTGCAGGCAAACCAGGGAGCAGGAGACGCCCCCCGACTTCTTTTACTTCTCTGACTACGAGAGGCACAACGCGGAGATCGCCGCCTTCCACCTGGACAGGTGAGCCCCTGCACCTGTCTCCGCTCCCCCACAGAGCAGCAGCCAGGCCGCAGCACACACGGAGCCACAGCCGCCCACACAGCAGGTGCACGCGATCACTTCCGCCTTCCTGCGCTCAGAGGTCACGGCCCCCAGCCCTGTTCTTTCAGCCACCCGATGAGAGGGGGTGGTCCAGCCACGGGGCGCCTGGAACCAGTCCCTGTGCAGCTGTTACAGGCGGGCTGTCATGGGACTCAAGGAGCATCATGGGGAAACCAAAGCCAACTTCCTGGAGAGGCGGCGTTTGTGGAGAGCACGGGGAGACCCCGAGGTCGGCTGGGTCCTGCGGCACAGCCCTGACCCTGCAGAACGAGGGGTCACCTCCCCTTGGCCCTTGCTGCTGGGGCGGCTGTCATGGCCCCGTGCCTTGGAGGAGCCGTGCACCAGCTGCCCGAGCTCAGCCTCAGGGGGTCCAGATGCTCAGAGCCCCTGCCTGGCAGTGGCGGGGGAGGGGGCGGGGGTACTCGGGTCTCAGCCTGAGTAGTGAGCGCAGAGCTCCCGCACACCACGTGCTCAGCCACAACCACCAGTCCCAGACCTGGCCTTCTCACACAGGGCCAAGGGGCGGCCACAGCAGGAGGCCGCTGCCTGGCCTTGGGCCCTGCTCACGGTGGGGGCATTGGGGGGCACGAGCCACAGCTGCCCTGCTCCCCTCGCCCACAGGGGACGGCTTCACGGGTGGTCGCCACGCAGTGGTGCCGAGGCCTCCAGGGAGAGCGGTTTGTTCAGTTTAGTTCGTTTTAAATTTGGCCCTGGAACCAGGGTGCACTGGGCAGGCTGACGCCCTGCAGGGGCAGCATGGCCAGCTCCAGTCCCGTGGGGTCCATCTCCGTGCACCACACACAGGGCTGCAGGTGGGCTGGGGGTGGGGGAGCAGTCCACCCTGCTGGGCCACGGAGTTCCTGAGCGCCCCTGCCCCCCTACCAGGATCCTGGACTTCCGCCGGGTGCCGCCCGTGGCTGGCAGGGTGGTCAACATGACCAGGGAGATCCGGGACGTCACGCGGGACAAGAAGCTGTGGAGGACATTCTTCACCTCGCCAGGTAGAGGCCAGGCGGCACCCTGCCCCTGTGCCCAGGACTCGCCCAGTGCCATTGAGTGGTGGCACTGGGCGCCTGCATCTCGGGGGGTCTGTACCCTGTGGCCATGCGGAGCTGCACGAGGCGTTTAGGACCCCATGAGGTGGCACTCGGCGTGGGGGGCCGGCAGCTCGGCTGTGCCGTGGGCTGCCGGGCGTGGCTGACGTCCCAGCCCTGAGAAGCTCCAGGACGCCAGGGTGGGCCACAGGTGGCCACGGACGCCGCCACAGACAAGCTGGCCGGTAACCAGCCCCGCCCCTCTCCCGCCAGCCAACAACATCTGCTTCTACGGGGAGTGTTCCTACTACTGCTCCACGGAGCACGCCCTGTGCGGGAAGCCAGACCAGATCGAGGGGTCCCTGGCGGCCTTCCTGCCCGACCTGTCCCTGGCTAAGAGGAAGACGTGGCGGAACCCCTGGCGGCGCTCCTACCACAAACGCAAGAAGGCGGAGTGAGTGCAGCAGTCGCATGGCATCAGGGGCTCCCCCGGGGCCCGCAGGGTGGGGCTCTCCTCGGCTCTTCCCTCCACTCCGCTGGGCCCTGGAGGGGGACGGGACGGGGCGGGGGCAGGTGCACATCCAGGTGGGAGGCGGCCCCTGCAGGGCTGCACAGGGCCCTCCCTCCCCATCCCTCCTGGGAGCACAGCGTCCCGGCACCGGCTTCCTCCCTGGCCGCCCGCTGCCCTGAGCCCTCACTGTGCGTCCATGCTGGGCCCCACAGGTGGGAGGTGGACCCCGACTACTGCGAGGAGGTGAAGCAGACGCCGCCCTACGACAGCAGCCAGCGCATCCTGGACATCATGGACATGACCATCTTCGACTTCCTCATGGGTAGGCCCGGGCCCCTCGCTGCCCAGGGCTGGTCCGAGATGCAGCCTCGCGGTCTCAGCCAGGGCGGGGGACAGTGTGGGGGGTCCGCCCGAGGTGCCACCGTGCCTGCTGCCCCGCAGGGAACATGGACCGCCACCACTACGAGACTTTCGAGAAGTTCGGGAACGAGACATTCCTCATCCACCTGGACAACGGCCGGGGGTGAGTCTGCTCTGCCCTCGGGCCCAGGACGGGGGAGGGCGCTCCCCCCGGCCACATCACCGATTCTCACACCGACTCTGAGAGCCTCCTGCTGGCCTGGGCGAGCCGAGGCCCAGCAGCGGAGACACAGGGCAGAGGGAAGGGGTAGGGGCAGTGCGGGCCAGGGGACCTGGCTCCCTCGAGGGCCCACAGGGCTCAGCGAGGCCGGCTCTAGGGGTCCTGCTGCCGAATCCCGGCTCGCTGTCCCTCCTGACGCCCAGGGCCAGGCCGCACTGCCCGGCCTCCGCCCCCCTCCCCCCTCGGTGACGTCCTCTCGCCCACAGGTTCGGGAAGCACTCACATGACGAGCTTTCCATCCTGGTGCCGCTGCAGCAGTGTTGCAGGTACAGCCCCGCCCCTCAGAGCTCCCCCGGAGACCACCCCCCAGCCTGGCTCTGCCTGGGGGTGGGGGCCACCGGGCAGCCCCACAGTGTCTACTGCCGAGCCACATCGGGACCAGCTCCTGGGCAAGAGGCTGATCCGGCTGCACAGGCCCCTGCAAGGCGGGACCCTCAGCCACGTGCAGCTCAGAGGCAGGGGCATGGGGGGGCGGGGGCATGGAGGGGCAGGGGCATGGCGGGGCAGGGGCCACCCAGGGTCCCACAGCCCAAGGACTGACGGGCGTCTGATCCAGCCGCCCTCCCACCTCTGGCGGTCTCCTCCCCCTGTGTATCTCTCTCCCGTCCCCCTCGACCGGCAGTCTCGGGGCACCCTGGCCCAGTGCCCAGGTGTCCCCTCTCCCTCAGGATCAGGAAGTCCACCTATCTGCGGCTGCAGCTGCTGGCCAAGGAGGAGTTCAAGCTGAGCCTGCTGATGGCGGAGTCGCTACAGCGCGACCAGGTGGCGCCCGTGCTGTACCAGCTGCACCTGGAGGCCCTGGACCGGCGGCTGCGCCTGGTGCTGCGGACCGTGCAGGACTGCATTGAGAAGGACGGGCTGCCCAGCGTGGTGGAGGAGGACCTGGGCCCCGAGCACAGAGCTGCCCCCGAGAGGTAGTGACCGGCGCCATGGGTCCGGCGAGCACAGACGCTGGCCGCGGCCCTGCCAGGACTGGGGAGGCAGCGCTGCCCAGGTCCCGGGCCGCGGTTCCCTCCGTGTCCATCTGCGGTGCTTGGAGAGACTGCCGAGCCGGCCGCGGGCAGGTCCACTCGGGGGCCGCGCACTCCGCACCCAGCTCCAGTGAAGCTTGTCCCCAGCCCGGGCCTCAGCGCCCACGTGGCGGGGCTCCTCATGGCGGACAGACGGACAGATGCTCTCGGGGCGACCCACGTCCAGTTCTTGCACTCATCCATCCCACGTGGTGCCCGTGCCCCCGCTCGCCCTGGACGTTGGGGTAGACGCAGCCCGAGCTGGAGGCTTGCTCGGCCGCGTTGCCGGGGAACGGTTTGCAATACGGTAAACACGCAATAAAAACTCGGCACACGCACCTGCGGCCTCCTGGGCAGGGCCCCCACCCTGGCACGCACCCGGCTGTCCGTCACAGGAGCCAGCCTCCGAGCCGGGCGCGGGCGAGCTCGCGGAAGGCGAGGGCATGGGGGGCTTTCCAGGCCAGGCCTGGCTCCCGAGGCTGGGCTCCGTCTGCACAGCCTGGCACAGCTGGGAGATACCAGGCCCTGCCTGCCGCTGGCCAGAGGCCTGGGACCCAGCCCAGCCTGGACACTGGGGGCTCTGCCTCTGCCCCAGGGAGGGCAGGAGCTGCTCCTACGAGGTGGGGTCTGTCCTCAGCTCCACCTGGGGCCCTGAGGCTGGGAGGGAGGGAGCTCTCGGCTCCTGCCACAGCCACGCCGGGGCCAGAAACCTGGGAGCCTGGAGGGTTCAGCTCCCCCGCCAACCCTGCGGTGCCCAGGACACGGAGAGAAAGAGACGTGACGATGACAGGTGCTTCCTTCCTGTCTCGCCCCAGGCTCAGCCCCCGCTGTGACTCGGGTGCCTGGCCCCCTGCGCTGCTCTGGGGGGCTCTGATGCCCCCACCTCCCCTTACTCTCAGGGGAGGCGGCTGCAGGGGAGGGCAGGCCAGGCCTCTGGGGCCAGCTGTGCCTACGTTGCCCGCCAGCCCTGCGGGGCGCAGAGGCAGAGCCACCTGCCCAGCAACGGCCCAGCCTGCACCTGCAAAGGTGTCTGGGCCCCCACTCAGGTGCTGGAGTGCGGCACATAGGCGTCGACCTCAGGCTGGGTCCAGGATCACACAGCCCGAGGTCTAAGCCCCCTAGCAAGCCCTCCGTCCACTCCCCACCAGTCCAGCTGACTCACACGGGTGCAGTGAGCCAGGTGGGGCAGCTGGCACAGGCACAGGCGACGGGACATGGATGGGGAGGGGCCCCGGACTCACAAGTCCGCCCCCAGTGTGGCTGTTTGGAGTGTAAGTGAGGCCTTTGGACCAGACCTCAATCCAGCCTGCAGGGAGGCAAAGTGCGGCTGGGGCTGATGTCCACACCGCTCGAGCTCCCCCTGCTGACCGTGCACGGCCAGCACAGACAGCCCCAGGAGAGCTCACAGCTGGGAACCACGTGCAGGAAGGCCAGCAGAGGGGCTGAGGGGTGTGGACCCTGGAGGACCAGGGGCTCCCGCACATCCACGCACAGAAGAGGAATCACAAAGAGCAAACTCAGGAGCTGAACCCGAGGACGACTTCCTAAGACAGGGCTGGGGGATAGCAAAGGCAAAACAGGGGCGGCCACACAGCCAACGGGGGAGACAGCGCGGGGAGGGGGCTTTGCCGGAGGAGGGAAAGAGGGGGGGAGTGTACGTTGTATGGGACTGGGAGCCCCATATGTGGTGTCGTCTATACTGCAGGCTGCACAGTGTGTGTAGCATGGAGGGGTGGAGAGTTGGCCGGAACCAAGAGCAGGGGGCCCTACCCCACCCCAGCAGGAAAATAAAAGCAAACTCATGCATGCAGAAAGACACACTTGTGCCCCGACGACACAGCTTGTGGAACAGGCAGCTGGGGGTGAGGCCAGGACACACCTGGTCCTGCCCTCTCCCCCTCCCCAGGATGCCAGAGCCACAGCAAGCCGGACTGCCTGGCCCTGCAGGGGGCCTGCCCAGCCACACCTGCTTGCTCACCTGGACACGCAGGCCCCCAGGGCGCCCCCACCCTAAGTCCCCAAGTGGAGGCTGTGGCAGGAGCCTTGGTGGTGCCCGGGCACAGATGCGTGCTGTTCTGCCCCCCCTTCCAGGGCAGTGCCCCCCAAGTGCCCCAGCTGACCCCAGTAAAGCTAAGGACGACCCTCAGTGCCCTTCCTGGGGGCCCCATAACCCCCAGCGTGGCCTGGACCACGGCAGGGGGAGGTTGGCCTGCCCAGGTGGGGTCAGTGGAGGCGGATGCAGCTCAGAGCTTGGTCAGAATTCCAGAGCCCCTGGGGAAGGGGGGTCCCTGTTCTGTATGGCTGCGCTGTCCCCTGCATCCCGGGATGGACGGTGGGCTCACGGCTTCATCCTGAGGCAGCCCCTGGGTACGTGGGGAGGGGGCCAGCTGCCAGGCTCACGCCTGTGTGGTTCCCATGGTCACTGGCTCCTAGGCTCCCTCTGGCTGGATGCCTGCTGGGACTGGGCCTCTGGCGCCACCTGGAGGAGCTCCAGGGGAAGGCGAGGGCTGGACAGCTGCTAGGGTCGGCTGGACCTGAAACCCCAAGCCGGGCAGCCTGCTTCTCCCTCCTCCGCTGACCCTGGGCCGTCTCCAAACCCAGGGCAGCTGGACTCGGCAACACGCGAGCTCATGACAAGGGCCACATGTGGCTCGGCACGCCAGCACACACGTGCACACTCACGCCTTCAGGCGAGATGGCCGTGTTCAACTGGAGGCAGAAGTCACAGGAACTTCCAGAAAGCATGGTCTGTGCAGGGCCACAGGCCCACGGCACAGCCCCTACCCAGAGCTCCCTGCCCGCCCCCCACCCCCTCCCACCCGCCTTTCTTTCCTTCGTTCCGTCTCTGAGCACGGCTAGGATGTTCCATCTGTCAGTGGTTCCCTGTCACCTGCTGGGTCCACCCCACCTGCCCCTGTTTTCTCAAGCCCACTCCCCAGGCCACACCACACACGCTGATGTGCAGCCTGTGGTGTAGACGGCACCACACATGGGGTTCCCAGGCCCACACCTGCACTGACCATGCAGCCTGCGGTGTAGACGGCACCACACACGGGGTTCCCAGGCCCACACATGCACTGACTGTGCAGCCTGCAATGTAGACAGCACCACACATGCACTGACCATGCAGCCTGCAGTGTAGACGGCACCACACACGGGATTCCCAGGGCCCACACATGCACTGACCGTGCAGCCTGCGGTGTAGACAGCACCACACACGGGTTCCCAGGCCCACACCTGCACTGACTGTGCAGCCTGTGGCATAGACAGCACCACACATGGTGTTCCCAGGCCCACACATGCACTGACTGTGCAGCCTGCAGTGTAGACAGCACCACACATGCACTAACCATGCAGCCTGCAGTGTAGATGGCACCACACACGGGGTTCCCAGGCCCACACCTGCACTGACCATGCAGCCTACAGTGTAGACGGCACCACACACGGGGTTCCCAGGCCCACACCTGCACTGACCATGCAGCCTGCAGTGTAGACAGCACCACACACGGGGTTCCCAGGCCCACACCTGCACTGACCATGCAGCCTGCAGTGTAGACGGCACCACACACGGGGTTCCCAGGCCCACACCTGCACTGACCATGCAGCCTGCGGTATAGACGGCACCACACATGGGTTCCCAGGCCCACACATGCACTGACCATGCAGCCTGCGGTGTAGACGGCACCACACATGGGTTCCCAGGCCCACACACGCACCAACTATACAGCCTGTGGTGTAAACCGCACCACACACAGAGTTCCCAGGCCCACACCTGCACTGACTGTTGGAACAAGGACATAAGCCTCAGCCATTCTCGCTCACTGCCCAAGGGGGGCAACACTGGAATTTATCCCCGGTCCCTGAATCTCAGTTACGTGCACCCCCACCGTCCTCACACCCCAGGCCCACAACCCTGCCCAGGTATGGAGGCCCGGTGGCCCCATGAGACCAGCTCCAAGGGAACCCCCCTCCGCCTGCTGCTCCCACCCCCGCCCCCCAGCCCACCTATGATATAAAAAGGCCAGGCCCCCGGGGTCAGGGCCTCCCACCGCGTGTTCCCTCAGCATGCCTGCCGGCAGCCATCACCCACCCCTGCGGGTTTATTCTGAGTAAGTTAGGTCTGGCTGTAGATGCGTGTCCTGCCTCCCCCCGCCCCCCCCGTTCTGTACCCTTTCTCCTACCATCCCGGTGCCCCCGTGTGAGGGCGACAGAGGACCCAGCTTTTGGCCGTGAGCCCAGACTCCCTTCACGCTTCTTCCAGACCCTGGGCTTCGCTGCAAATTCATTTTCCTTTCAAGACAGAGACCGTGGACTCATGGAACCTCTGACCAGGGCGACTCTGGTGAGGCGCGAACTTCCCCAGCTGAAAACCGGATCCCCACGGCCCGCAGGGCACCCTAGAGCCCATGTCCCTTTCCACCTTCACTTCTGCCTGGCTTCTCGGGGTGGGGGGTGCGACTTCCAGGATTCCCCCGGCTTCCTCCTTGGAGTGACCCGGACGGGCCTGGGAGACACTCCTCCAACCACCTCCCGTAGAGTCGAGAACAGCCTCGATTTCTCACTCCAAACGCACTCTCTTCCCTACGAATACACAGCCAGAGTCCTCTGCTGGACCGCACCGCTGCGCCCAACATCGGACCTCATTCAGGACCCGTCGGACAGGTCAGAGGCCTCCAAGCGCACTGGGTGTCCACCCCTGACTGGCTCATTCCCCTCTGGGGCCTGGGCGTTTGCCTCTGACCAGCTCGTTCCCCTCGCGGGGTCCAGGCATTTGCCCTCTGACCGGCTCGTTCCCCTCGCGGGGCCTGGGTGTCCAGTCGGTTTCCCTCGCTCAGAACCAGGACGCTGGTCTACACTCGGATTTTCCCACTCTGAGAACTCACAGCTTCAGCTCCAGGTTGGGGCGATCCTTCCCTGGAGGCCTCCCTCTGCAAAGGGCCCCCTTCCCTCAGGCCGTATTTTGCCTCATCCGTGGGTTCCCAAGTGTCGCTCATTCCCTCTGACCCCGCTCTGGCCTGCCTCTTAAAAAGCTTGCACGGAGAATCAGCCCTAAAGGCATTCGGAGCTGGCTGAAAAGCCCATGAGAGTATTTCAGGCATGGAAAGCCAAGACACTCTGGCAAAAGATCTCTGTGAGTGAGATCCCAGTGGAAAGAACAGGCCATCAAAGAAGGAGGTACCTTTCTCTGAAGGGAGGAGAGAACCTCCACTTTGACTATGAGCTTGTCTAAACAAGATAAGAATCGGAGAACTCAAGGGGCTTCCATAGCCTTGGAAACTCATGACTGGAGCATAGGGAGATTACTGATGCCATAGACAGGAGTGTCAATTGGTAAAGT